CTTTAGTGTCTTCTTTGCTTGAATGTTTAAATTAGCAAGGTTTAAAATACAGGCAACTGATAAAGTTTTGTGAGTTTTCAAGCACTGGCCCGATCGGGACAGTGACAGTTCTGTGACAGAGAGAGTCAAAATAAAGGTGCCTTAAAAATATATATGTATCAATTTTTTTACACGTTGCGTCATCATGTTGTTTGTCATTTGATCGTACTGTTACAACCTTTTTATGTCCTGCACAATTAAAGTTTATATCATCTACTGCAATAATATGTGTTTTTATTGGCAAGTCTGTTAAAAGGGCACTTCAAGAAAAAAACAACTGTAACCTCGAATCCCCCTCACAGCTCAAAAATGTTGACCATTCTCTAGAGCCAAATTTCACACTTTTGGTAGATTATTTCATAGTTAACTGCAAGACCACTTGATCCGACCAAAAGACTTCATTGATCCGAGACATATGTGGAAAGCAAACACTGCAGCTAAAAAAACAACAACTTAAAGACACAGTCAGAACGCATGTCCAACTCAAGCATATCTATGTACTCACGAGCGAATCTGATCAGCACAGGAATCTAGTGTGTAATTGATAAGTCTTTTTTCCTCTGCATGCAAGTTGGACTTAATTAATACCAGTAGAGAGGAGATTCTTTCTGGACAAGTCTGACATATTTATCACGGGACGTCTGGGTAAGGCACTCTGGAGTTCGTCACACACGGTGTCTAAACACTAACCTGCCAGATGTGTTAGGATCTTTTTTCTGAGGCAGCAGTTCCCATCAACGGGCAGAAGCAATTACTAGAGGTTATCACAGGTCATCAACTGCAGAGAAGTGAGGATTTGGATTTCCTTCCTTCAAACTCCTTTTTCTACATCTGAATATAAAGATTCCTGGGGAGAAAAAAAACCCATTTAAACATCCTAAGAGGATAAAAGAGTGAATTTTAGGAATTCTTTATCAGTGTTGATGTCTTTGGAAATTGCATTTACCATATGGCACGTCGGTCTATTGTTGCCATCCCAGAATGCATTGCCACTTCATGCAGTAACACGATCTAAATACAATCCAGATGTACTCCACCAATTGGTCTAATTCCTTCAAGCCTCGATATTTCACATGACATATATTAATCATCAGAGGCATGTCACAGATTTCTGCACTGATAACAACATCCCTCCCTTCAAACGACGGCTGACTCATTCCAATCAAACCAGTGGGGCGGTTATCAAAACAATGCTGCAAAAAGGGAGGGAGACAGACGTCTCCCAAGCTGTTGCGATCAAGTGACAAAACACTAAGTGCTTCCACCTTTAGTTTATGAAACTGCGGTTTCTGTTATCCGATTCAAAGAACCAATCACAAGCTTTGGAGGTCAATTCAGAGGGTTTTGTTTTAAATAAACACTAAGAAAGGTCATACAAAAATATTCTATTACCATCTTCACAATAGCACATGAAGTACACCCTTGAAGGTACAGCTGATAAAAGCTTCAAATTATATTATTCTATACAAGACAACAGGTGTGGACCTGCCAAGGTAGATTTCTGGAATTGGCTTGCCAAAATAATCTGTTACTGTTGGATAGTAACATTTCCACATGCAAAAATGTTCAGGTTTTCAACAAGATAACTCTCAACTTGATTCAACCTGCTGCTTTATCTTCCCTGGCAGAATCTCAAAGCATTGTCAGTGCAGTTCATGAAGAGACATCCTCTTGTCCTCAGGCTTAAAAGCCTCTCTCCAGGGTCCTGAAGCATGGGCCCAAGGCCGAGAGCTGGTCCAGGGCAAGGGGCCAAACATATCAGCAAGCCAGTACCCTGCCTGTAGGGCCCCACGGTCAGTCCTCCTCTGAGGAAAGCTGGGCCCCATCATCATGTACCTCTCTGTAGGCCTCCAGTGGGCCTCCTTCTGGGTTGTAAGTCTCCATCCTTATCCTCAGACCATCTGCCAGCTTCTGGGCAGCTTGTTTGGCCTGCAACTCCTGAAATGAACAGTATACACAATTACATGAATGTACTACTTCCTGAATACATAATGAGGCAGGAACAAAAACACACAAGAGGCAAACCCGTGAAGGTTTTATACTCTCAGCCGGGAATATTCAAGTAGTACTTTTTCGAGGCCTCAGATGCTTAGAAATGTCATTCATCACTTTGATCATTCAAAACTCACTTTATCTATGAGCAAGACATCTTCAACCTACCAGGTGCCTTCTGGTCTGCTCTTGCTGAAGGTCTGATGACTCCTCTAATGACAGCAGCTGAGCAGGACTGTGGTGCAGGGGTGGAAGCTTAGCCGAAGTAACGTCATCCAGGTGTTTTCGGTCTTGTTGTCTTCTGGCCTCTGTAGTAAGTGGTGTGGTGCTGCCAGAGGCCTGACTAGGTGATGTAGATGTCGACTTTACACTTAACCTAAAGAAAGAACAGAGACTTTTATCCAGAGTGACTTGCAGAGCATTTTAACTATGGATTTTAAAAGTTTATGTATTTCCTGGGACTTGAACCCATGACATGGCTGTCTGTTACTAGCACCATGCAAGGGAAAATGAACCTGAGACCTGAAGCTATACAAGTTAAGTATTTAAGGTTAAACATCCATAAAATCATATTCCCCACATTCTAGATCATTATATTCTCATTATAACTAGAACAAACTATAAAAAGAGTTAATTTGTAATGTAAATATGAAGTGTATTAATGTAGTTAGCATTCAATTTCAATTTATTAAAATAAATACAAAGCCATGCAATGACAGTGTAGTTCCACTACTAACTGGTTTGGTTTGAATCTGGGCTTCCTCATATTCACACTTTTCTCTGTCCTCTCCAGGACCTCAAAGCAATGTGGTTTCTTCTGAAGCTGATTACCCAGAAAGGGTATACTAGAAGGCAGGGGTTTGATGGTGCCTTGGTTGGAGGAGTTGTTACTTTCATCAAGTGTTACTCGTCCAAACGCCTCCACAAGCTCTGTGTCTTTCATCAGTGAGGCTGGTGCATTCCCACCGGCTTTTTCTAGCGTTCCAGCAACCTGAGGCCGGGATGTCAAAGACTCCTCTTGGCCAAACAAACCACCATTTTCCTGTATGTTAGCCTCATCAATATTAACATTGGCTTCCTTTCCGTCATGGGATGGAATAATCATGTCCAAATTTGAGCCTAAATGCTTATCTGTGCTTCGATTGGCAAGGGCTTGCTGATATTTAGCCTGTAACTCTGTCCGGACAGAGATTAAATTTGCTTGTTTTCTCTCTTCCTCCTCCAGATGTCCAAGTGCAAGGTGTACTTTCACCACAAAGTCAGCAATCTTCTTTCCTTTATCTGGGAGGCTCTGAACAAATCTCCTGAAAAGATCATAAAATTACAATTCATTTTTAGATATATTTATTTATATAACACTTTAAACATTAAGACTTTTTTCAAAGTAGCTTGATAGTAATACACAGGAAAATAACAGTGTTAATGTTGCAAACTTCATCAATTACTTCAACAATGCAACAAATTAATTTGTATTACATATAAAAGGGGTGTTTTTGCTTTGAATTATAAATTGCCCCAACTTTTATGAGCAGCAGTGTACACTACCACTCATGGGATTTATGATGCACGGATCTGTTGTTTACACGACTAATAAGAAAGTTTACTGTGGGGGCGCCAGTGAGTGAGCAGTGAGTGAGTGAGTGGACCTGGAATGATCCAGAATATTTAAGCAGCACAATATTCTAGCCAGTATATAGATATGTTATGATTATATTCAGGGAAACGGGGCTAAATAAAATAAAAAGGTAGAGGACATCACTTACTTATTAGACAGTAACTTTTCTTGTCGAGAGAGTATCTCAAGGAGCTCATCTTTACTCTTGCTTCTCAAATCACCCACTTCCCCCTGGCGCGCTGTCCACGCCGCCGACATGATCAGATCTGTGAAGAATGAGTAACCCAAATACAAATTACACACTGAATACAAATGTTCACTCTATAAAGCTTCATGACTGATGATACAGGGCGCTAAATATCCACTGCCATGTGTCAAAAATAAGCAACGACAATGAATGAAGTAACCAACGATAATACCTAGCATACAAGTTACAAAATAAAAGGCCCAAAGCAAAAACAAGCGTCTACAGTTGAACAGCCATTCTCCCAAAAAATTGAAGAAATAAATGTAATAATAATAATGAAAACATATTATTTAAAATAAATAGATTTGTTTGTTGTCTGTATTTCATTGTTAAAATAAAAAAAGCTATCGAAGTCTTCGAAAGAACAGAACCTAGGAAGAAAGAAACAAAGAAATAAATGCCATTGCACTGGTGCCATCTGCTGGGCAAACTCATGCACTCCACTGTGAAGGTTCAAAATAACAGTAAATTAAATTACATTTATTACAATAAATTACATATTTAATTTAGTCGTAGATGACGGAGATATGTCGCTCTGTTGAATTGAGCAGAAATACACATTCATATAGTGCCATAAATACCATTAAAAAATTGACTTGTGTGCTAGATTTCAGTCACTTTCACTGAACAAAATTTTTATATATTTTTGAATTTAAATATTTTGATGAGAATTGTATTCCTGTGCCACATGGGTAATATGGCACATTATTTCTCATTGAGAAATAATGATTTGGAAAATATTACCCATGTGGCGCATGAATACAAAATATTAAAATGTTACTGTAATACAAACATAGATCTGAGAGGTATGACGGTACAAATTATTGTAATTTGGTAAAATGTGAATGGTAAAATCAGGTAGATCAGGTCTTATCAATGAGATTCAGAGAATAAAGCGAAAATATTAGTCCTTATTTTAATTAATACAGTCTCTGAATAAACGTGTTTGTTTGTTTATTTATTTAGTACAATTGCTTATTTTTTTTTACATTTGCAAAAGAAAAATACAGAGATTAAAATTTTAAAAATAAGTTACTCTTTAACATCTCCATGGGACGTAATGACGTCCACTTGGAAACGCACTGCTGTGTTCCGACACTGCGTTGTCGTAAATCTTCCGAATTGACTCGGGTCCGCCAGCCATCACACAAGTACAAGAGGTAACGCCTGGTTGAGCTTTGCGCTCCGGCGACAACAAAAGAGCGATCATGACGAGTGGGTATTGATTTTTATTAATTTGGTTGACATTATATCAAGCTTCTATGGTTACCAATGTTAGCACTTTAATGGAATCCAGGTTTCCGGAGCAATACAATAACAAGGCTAACCAACTAGCCAGTTAGCTTATTCGGTGGAAAGTTCAAGAAAGGAAATCACAAGATTAGGCTTCTAAACCAGGCAAAATGCAGATTTGGGGTGATGTTAGTGAAAATTATTTATTTATATAAATACTACGACACGGAAAACTTTTTAAAACATTGTCAAAAAGTTGACGGATGTTTAACATTAGCAAACTTAAATTATATAACGTTAGTCGATTGCAATGCATCAGTAATGCCACCCAGCAAACGACAGCGAATTTTTTTTTTATCTTATAAGAAAACAATGTTGTTAATTTTGTGATATCGACGATAGTAGGTAGTCTATCGTTTTGTGCGGATGTTGTTATTTTGTTGAAGGGTCTCTGGCGCCTTCATTGCCACGTCGCCTCACTGCCACAGATGATTATACTGTACACAGATTTGGGTTTACGTGTTATACTGTACACAGCATCAACCTTGCTCGTTCTCTAAATACACTTCTTGACAATGGATAGATTTGCCAATGACAGATTGGAGATTTTTAAACAAAGTGGCATCTTCTTGTTGACCCGTTCAATCATGTGCAATCTTTTGCTTTTCAAGGGAGTTGACAAGAACAAGCCATTAAGAGTGTTGAAATCTCTCGTCCTGCAGGGGGAAATCAGCGTGAGCTTGCCCGTCTAAAGAATGCTAAGAAGCAAACTGATAATACCAAGGGGAAGCGAAATGAAGATGGCCTCTCAGCAGCTGCTCGTAAGCAAAGGTACACTAAAGAGAACAATAACATATAGATGCTTGGAATTACAAAGTGCATTCCTACTGACTGTGAATATGATTTATTTATTTTTGTATTTCAGAGATGCTGAAATCATGCAGCAGAAACAAAAAAAGGCAAACGAGAAAGGAGACCCTAAAGCCAAATAACCAGTGTATGGGGTTGTGACCGACATGGCATCCAAGATCTTTTTTCCTTTTGTCAAGAAAAAAAATATCTTTCATTGTGTAGATGTGGAGAGTTTGATTCTTTAATGTTTCATCCCAAACTCCATAATGTGCTTGAAAGGGCATATCAACCTTACAGTACATAATGATTTGTGTTCAGCTATGGAGGAGGAGAGAGTTTCTTATGTTCAAATAATCCGAGCAAGCCCAAATAAATGGGAGTCTCAAAATGTCTGGACTGGACTTGTAATCTTGTATTTTTGTATAAAGTGCCCTTCTTAATAAAAATGTACATTTTAATGGACACCTACCAATTAAAATGTTATCCCTATAATACTATATGCATGTGTGTTTAAGAATTTAAGGTTTTTAACAATTCACATTTTTTCTTTACGGAATTAACTACGATTGAGGGCAAATTTCTATAAACCGCCAGCCGTAACCAAAAAACTGTTAAGCAGTTCCAAGATGATAATTGACTGTTCAAATAATGCAGTGCATATTTCTAATCACACTGATTTATTTGATGTTTAAAATCAGTTGTGAACTCTCAGTGCCGGCTTCTTTACTGGCATAACTGGTACATTTTTACTCATTCAGCGTTATGTGGTGTTTGTACTTATTTGGAATGTCAGTAATCTCTTCATATATGATAAATTAGCTTTGACATATTGTGCTATAATTGTGGTGTCCATAGGGTACCCTGTTGGAACGGACAATGCACATGCCACCACTGATAGTACATAAATAATCCTGTGGCAATGAAAAAGCATAATATATGAGGCCTGTGTCGCAAAACAAATGCCATATTACCCTTGTTATATATGATGTCAGCTTTTACAGAAAATGTCCTTACTTCCATGAATCACTGAATTAGGTGCCCTGCGGCGCACTAAACCACACGCTCCTAATCTGACCACGCATGGGATTCTATTTTAGAATCAGATATTAAGTCGAATATTTTGGTTTGCTGAAATGTCTTCGGAGGGCGGGGTTTTTCAGAGAGGAGGCGGGGCTAGCGAATGGTTCTTATGGCTCTGGTTCTTTCGAACCGCTCGTGAACACTGACATGGCGTTTATTTTTTACAAGTACAGCTATAAAATAAAGCCATATGTTCACATGTTCCGATTTATTACGCTTTCAATTAAGTTTTAATAATAAGGAAAATGTTGAAAACTGACTGTGTCTGCAGCAATGATTCAGATCATAAAACAATTAATTAATTAAGAGAATAAATGTTCCAACTATGAACAATGTGTGTGTTGACAACAGTTTCATACAAGCAGATTTACCATTTCTGCTATTAAACTTTTAAACCAGTGAAATCTGATTCTTAGTGAATCTGATTTATAAATCGTTCAGGCCAGAAAAAAGATCCGACTCACAAACAATTCTTTCAATAAAGCATCAACTACAGCCTTCTCAAGTTTTACACAGCCATGGTAAAAATAAATGTTAAACTGCTCTGGGACAGGTTTTGTTTAAGACACCTCTATTGTCCATCGTTCATTCATGATAACAGCTCACAAACAGATATTAGACCAATCAGCTGTGAGCAAAGTGACATAACTCTGACGTAACCAAGTCCATTCTCATTGTAGTAAGCGTACTACTAGTAGCAAAATGGCTTCACCGTTTCTGGATAATCCTGTTGATATCGGAGCCCAAATTGTACAAAGGGCTTTACGAAGAGAAAGAGTTCTTAGAGATAAGCAAAACCCCCTTGCATTCTCTGACGCGAACTTACACGAGAAATACCGATTTTCGGCGGAGGGAATGTTGTATCTTTGTCGGCTTCTAGAACCCCATATTAAGAACCCGACGCGGCGAAGCCATGCGACCACTGTCCCACAAATGATTTGTATCGCTTTGCGTTTCTTTGCGAGTGGTACATACCTGTATGAAGTGGGCGATGCCGAGAAGCTCAGCAAGAACACAGTTTGCCGAACAATTCGTAGGGTAGTTATCGCACTCCAGAAATATCTAAACAAATTCGTTGTGTTTCCTGGTCATTTACCCACTGTGGCCATAAAAGAGGGCTTCTCCAATATAGCTGGTAAGATTGATCAACACACTAATACAAATAACGATCGATATTAAGAGTTGGTAATGCTGTGATCTTTTGCAAGGATTCCCTAGAGCTATTGGAGTAATAGATTGCACACACATTCCAATCTCGACTCCAATAAAAGAAATTGAGGCTACTTATCTCAACAGAAAGGCTACTCACAGCCTCAATGTTCAGGTAGGTATATTGCATTTAACCAATATGCATCCACATGAATTATAGTAGAGGTAAAACGTGGGACTCACCAGCAGTATGTTCATTACAGATTACTTGTGACCATCAGTGTATGGTCACAAGCCTGGATGCCAGATGGCCTGGCTCAATGCATGACAACCAGATTTTCGAGAATTCGTCATTGTGCACGCGTTTACGGGAAGGTATGGTAAAATAGGAACAGTAGACTACACTTTACAAAAATAGACTTTTATTGTGACACTTTTTTCTGTTCATTTGACAGGGCTGTTTGACGGTGTGCTGGTGGGAGACAAGACTTATGCATGTCAGAGCTTTCTGATGACTCCCTACCCTGACCCTGAGACAACACCACAGCATGACTTTAACATGGCCCTCAGGCAAACCAGGCGCAAGATTGAAAAAACTCTTGCCATTTTAAAGGCACGGTTTAACTGTCTTCGTGACCTGAGAGTGTCACCAGAGCGGGCATCTCAGATTGTGGGTGCATGTGTTGTCCTTCACAACATAGCCACTATAAGGAAGGAGCGAGTGCCAGAGGAATATTATCTCCCCCCTGATGATGATATTGATGATGATGTTGACCCCATTACTTGGGACCAACCTGCTGGCAGAGCTGTCAGAGATGCCATCACTGCAGAATATTTCACTGACCAACTAAATACGTTTGTTTGAGAGAAATGTTTCATATTAGGCTGTATTAATGCATTAAACTTTATTGTCATTAAATTTGTTTTCATCTATTCTCATGTTGATGTTAAAAATGCTCAATGGAAAAACAATGGCTGGAAAGTAATTGTTCTTTCACATTAATATGCATTATTCTAAATCTTTGTTAAAACCACTCCACAGGTTGTGAATTCTCATACATTTGGAATGTAATATATTCAAGTATAATTTTTATACATTTATTTTTTTAATAAAAATTATATTATCCACATTACAATTTGATTTGAAACGTTTTATTTTAAACTTTTGCATTTCAATTAGATCTCAGTTTTTGAGTGCACTTTCAGGTTTTGGACTTCAGTGTATAATTATCATGTATAATAAATGTTCTGGTCTTATTTCAAGAACATAAATCGATCGTAAGAAGCTCTCTGATTTTATTTTCTTCAGCTGCATATGAACTGACCTTAATTAGAAAGACAGTCAGACTGACCGATCAAGTTTATGCAAAATTTTATTTTGCATGTCAGACTGTGGAGACACTCTTTCAGACCTATTTTACAACTTCTTTTGATGTACAAACCTTGACTACGAAACCAAGACGTTGACAGTGGCCTACCTCATTTACAGCTTACAAATACTGGTAGAAAAAATAAAGTGCGTGAATGTACAATGTAAAACAACAGCAAAACAGTGTAAAGTATATAAAATCACAATCTACTTTACATTTTCCATTCAAAACACTCAAGCTGAAAACACAATGGAATGTAACACATGATTAAACAACATCAAACATGTCACGGTTAATGTGGTTTAAAACGATTTTTCCAAGAAAGTCTATAATAGCGAAGTTAGTGTTTGTGTCAGAGAGGGTTTGTTTTAAGTACGGATGACCCATTATTGTAACCATGTTCTTCTAAATTTTCTTTTTTAACCCTAAAGCAGATTGCAAATTTACAGACGTTTTCAACCTTTTCCAACTGGAATCGCCACATTATCTGTATTAGTCAAGTATGATTTCCTCAAATTTATCCACGATGTGTATCATTCTTTTCTCTTGCAGTATACCTCATTCTTTACCAAATGTCAACAATACTGTCTCGACTGTAATTTTGTTGTATTGTACCGCGTCATTGTCTTTCTGTCCGTTTAGACTCCATCCACTGCACTATATGCTGCACCGAACACAATTACCACCAACCTATGTGGCAAGACATAATCGCGTACTTGTGCTCTTCAAATGTACATTCAAAAGTATTTAGAAACTTTGTTTCTTGATGCTCATTCACACTTGCTACATTTGATCTAAAACAAATTTTTTTTTTTTTTGCATTTAAAATTTCCATACACATCATACCATTATTTAACACCAGGCACTTTACTAATAAGAACACATCTGAATCACAGAATAGAAAACACTAACATACTAATTCCCAAAAAGGCCTAAGAAATTAAAAATTGATAAAAAAAAAAATAATTAAAAAAAATGTTTAGAAAGTTCTGCAACACTAACAAGCTCTCTGGTTGAACTGCCTGGTGTTCAATGCTGGTATAATCACAATCTGCAGAGGATGGGCTATTGTTTTCATAGTCAGCTTTTAAGATTAAAATACCCTCATTAAACACATATGCATTGCATCTTTGCACAAAAAAATGGCAAAGTAATACAAATAGACATATAAAACAATTTTTTTCACCTTGAGTGAAGCGTCATTACTCAAGTCTTGGCAGTGATAAAGCACCAGTACCGGTCACACAAGAAGGCTTGTTGCCCATTTCTCTCTGCTCATCCATCTGGTCCACTCTTTCTCCAGTTGTTCTCTCTGACGGCATCTCTGTTCCAAAACTTATTCAACACAATAAACTGTGTCATAACTTAAAATTTAACATTAAAGAGTAAAGAAGATGTGAGTGGATTTGAGGGCATTGTCAAACTCAAATTTGGCAATTCGCACACTGAGCTTGTCACATCTATTTTTAATACTCAGGGCTCAGTACGCTTAGTCTTTATGAAAGCTGCCCAAGTGAACATTTAGATTGTTAGATTGTTTATGCATAAATCATATAAACTCATTGGCAATGTCTATGTTTTACACCACAGAGTCTCTGATCTCAGAGCCCAGTCGTACCCGGGGGCGAGGGCAAATGTCACTGACCTCCACATGACTTTCTTTGAACTCATTCTGTGGCGTTTGGGCGAGTGTCTGTGCTTCCTTGGAGTTGTGCTGCGTGCTTGTATCTGATGGAGCGATTATGTAACCGCAGTTTTCCTCCAAAGTCTGGTAGCTTTTGTGGTCGGATGGGGAGGTTGGAAGCACACCAGCATTGAGGGGTACACTCTCCCCAGGCCTGACTGTGCTCTTTTGGGCTCCTGCAGTTTGTTCTCCCCCTCTTAGTACCTCCTTCATCCGGCCCCTGTGTCTATAGGCTACCGACAGCCCGAACGAAAGCACACACACAGCTAACAAAACACACACTACAGCCAGCTCTGTGCCATATGTCTTTATGCGAGGTTGAGCAGAGCGAGCCGATTCACCGGACAGGATGTCTGATGATATGCTTTGGATTATAAGAGGTGCATCCATCTGCCCAGTATTGGTTGTGGTCTCGGATAAAGGCTCTGCCTTTACACAGTAATTGGCCAAAAGTTGCCAGAAGCCATGTTCTTCTGACCAACAAGAGAAGACCTCATCTACGCCTGCTCGGCCGCTGACTACTAATCCACCATCTGGGCTGGGGAACTGGAAGTGACCTGGCTTGTATGACCATTTTCTGTGGGCATGATTGGAGCGAAGATTGCAGGGCAGCAGGCGAAGGGTGTTAGCTGGGACGATGATGATCTCACAATCAGATGCTTGGGAATTTGGTAAATTAAGTGGTAACACGGTTTTACCAGAGCTTTCAGAGTCCACACTGAACATGGTGTCATTACATTTTGATTTTGAAGTGTCAGCCTCCTCAATATCTTGCTGCCATTGTCTGAAACACATATAGGATGGTAAAAGATTGGTATTGGTACTGAAAATTATTCATTCAATAGATATTTTGAAACAGGGAAGACTTACTTTTGTGGTGCGATTCGTGTGACGTCAGTACAGTGTGTTCCTGTCCAAGCACAGTATGGGTCTCTGGCCAAAACACACTCACCACAGTTGTTATGGTAACTGCAGTTTGCTACAGGCAACTGCACAATACCAGAGTGTGACGACATAAATAACAAACCCTGTTTGTTGAGAGAGAGGATTGAGAGTAAGAGAGTGAAATACAATTTTTGTAGAGGACAAGTGCAAGTAAATGTGTAATTCAAATACACTACTGTGCAAAAGTTTGGGGCGAGTAACAAGTACCATTTTTTTTCCTAACAGGGATGCATCAACTGATCAAAAGGTGACAGTATTTTCATTTATAATGTTAGAATATTATATAATTTGCCATCACAGAAATAAAATTACATTTTGTACTGTATTTTTAACTAATTAAATATAGCTGTGGCAAGTATAAGAAAATAGTATATGACTTATACAGTAAAATATCTTACTGACCCCTAACTTTTGAATGGTGGTGAATAAAATGAATGCACCTTTACATAAGTACAAATAAACAGTAACACTTTTTGTTCACAAAGGTTAATGCATTCGTTTTCAAGAACCTACAAGTAACAATAATTTTACAGCATTTATTAAATTATCTTTGTTTAATATACCACATATTGTAGTTAATTATTCATGCTAATGAATATGAAATGTAGTTTATGTAGAAATTAACATTAACCAAGGAGGTTAATAAATGTATTTTTCATTATTAGTTTGTGCTATTTAATAGACACACATGCACGCACGCACGCACGCACGCACACACCTTAGCCGAATCCAGCTCAATGTGTTGTACAGGCTGTTTTTCTGGGAACAGTTGGATCTCCTCAATGATGTGCATCGTACCAGCTACATTCACAGCCTTTTGCAAACGTCCATCATCTGTCAAATCACAGCGCACAACATCAACAGCTAATTAGAAAAGAAATTGAAATCAGAGAAAATCAGACACTCAAAAAACACAACATACCTGTGCCGATGAACATCACATCGTAAGCTCTGTGGAGGCCTTGCACGTGGTGTACAGCGATTTGTGTGTAGTGCACAGAGTGCGTGAAGAGCACCGGCTGACTTTTGACAGGTCTGTCCATCAGGAAATGGTCTTTCACAAAGTTTAGTACCTTATCTGGCATATCCAGGGATGAGCCTATTCCCAGCTCCCTTGAAGCATTAGTAATACACTGTTGAAAGGGGAGAAGGGTCACAATCTTCACAAAAAGCTTCACAAAAACTATAAAATCCTTCCCGCTTATACAGAACTGGTAAAGTGTGGGTGTGTGTCATCTTACCATTCCAGGTCGTGGTTCAGGTACAGGTTGAGTGTGTGTGTACCACTGCTGTGTCTCTCGGTTCACCTCTTTGTAACGGCCAGTAAACGCTTGTTCTACCTGATCCATGCTGAACACACATACTGCTGAACTGCCTGCTAGACCTTTACTCCTGGAACAAATTAGAAAAAAATGTACATTTTAGAACAGACACACTAGAATTTGCAGTGTTAAATTAGAGCAAAACGTTTCTAGTATATAGTATTACTAGTATTAATACAGAAAAACATTATCTTCCTGTGCCCCTCTCAATTTTTCCGCATACCATTGAGAAGTGAACACTGCATAGAGGAGTGTGTTTTTCTTGTGTTGGGCAGGAAGCACATAGACATCCTGAATGATGTTGAAAGGAAAACCATCATCAGGTAGCGAACACAAGAGCTGAGCTTTAAGAAATGTGGTCCATTTCTTCTGTAGGACTCTCTCTCCACCCTGATCCTCCTGAGATTAAACAAAAAAAAAAAACACACACACACACAAGCATCTGATTTAACAGTTTCAACATATTTTCAACATATAATACTCTGAAGGACCACTAGGCGGCATTAGAACTCTAGCCCTGGTTTCATTCAGAGCATCCTGGGGGGGGGGGGGGGGGGGGGGGAGTATTGCAGTAGCTGCAAATGGTACAATGACAGTTTCAGATAGTGATAGCACAGTACTGACCGATTATCATATTAAAGGTGCAATGTGTAACAAAGTTGAGTATCTATTAACAGAAATGCAATATGACATCCATAACTATGTTTTCAGTGGTGTATAAAGAACTTACTTAATTAGCCGTAATGTTTTTATTACCTTAGAATGAGACATTAATAGCTCCATAACCGCGGGAATCCCCTTCTATGAAGGTCGCCATGTTGTGACGTCATATTCCTACCGTAGCCGAACGCGAACAAACAGCGCTACAGAACGCGTTCATCACTACCTTGAAAGAGAAGTAGCGGAAAGCTGGAAGCTAGCCTTACACTCCGTGAGTAGTGACTTTTCCCTTGTGAGTGGTGTAAATATGTATTTGGGATTGTTTCATGTAACTTAGTTCTCCCTCGCTGTGTTATGGGTTTGTTATGTTGGGGATAGATGTGCTGTTACGTTCGTGAAGACAGCTGATGATTAGTATTCATGTCATTGACCGTAAAACAGTACGTTACAGGAATCACTAACCCGTCGATAGAGACTTTTACTAAAGTCTTTTATCACTAAAGTCGATCGCGAAGAATTTTAAAAATCAGAGAAAAAAGCCTATTGTGTGTAGTAAATAGTATCTATGGGATGCGGAGATGACATGATTGTAACAGCGCGCGCAGTTCCGACCTTTGGACTCATGCAGACGCGTCCCAGCTCAGCCACAGTAACAGCTCATATTAGCCAGCTAAACTATTACTACCCTGTTAGAAAAAATATATAGCTGCTCCCTCGCTGTATTATGGGTTTGCTACAGTATGTGGGGAGAAATGTGCTGCTGGTTACGTTTGTGAGACAATCAGCTGATTATTATTTTATTAAATTATATATTAAAACCCTTGATCCTCACCTGACTATGGCTTTGTAAACAGACAGTATTCATGATGTGGTTTATAATGGACTGTGGTACAGAAACAGTGACAATGTTACACACTCTTGGCTTACTCTGGCTATTCTCTGCTGTCTCAGCCGACGAGATGTTTGTCCCGTTTTCGCAACCGTAGCTTCTTCGAAAGGGAGGGGTGAGCAGTGGGCGGAGCCCTTAGTGCAAACCTGGTGCAAACTCGCAACCGAACCACTAGATGTCGCTAAAAGTCACACATTGCTCCTTTAATATACTATAGTATTTATACAATTATCCAGGGTGTTTCAAATAATATTGTTGTAATGCCTTGGTACATGTCAAAAAACAAACAAACATGGTATTATCAATGCACTCCCGTGGAAGTCAGGGAGAAAGGGAGCGTCAACAGGTGGGAAAGTAACACATATGTGAACATTAATAGGGCAGAGTTCACAGCCTTCTGTGATTCACCTTGTTAATTTTCTTCTTAAATTAACATGAAACTAGGGTGACCAGATGACCCGGTTTCAGAAGTGTCCCACCAATTTACTAAAAAATATGAAAATATGTACCTGTTTCATCTGGTATACTGATATATTGGGATTTCTGTATGTGTGTCAGTATGTGTGTTTTTTTTCTTTTCAGGTTTATGCTGACTTTGTCAACACTGTGTGAACTGCTTAAACACTCCATCTTACCTTACACACACGTGCAATCCTGGACACTATGGTGTTATCAAAGAAGTCGAACTCCTTTCCCATCTCACTGAAGAAAAAATAGATCTGATCACCACTTCTCTCACTGTCTTGACCTGTTATATGAGCAGAACCTACAAACGCTGGGTCTGACAGACCACACACACACACACACACACACACACACACACACACACACACACACACACACATTTTAATTTACCATTCCAGAAAACAAAACTGTACAACTGTTGATTTAACATCAGTATCAGCCAGTAATTTTCTGTTTCCAACATGCGTGAGAAAGCATGGTTCTGTAATCACTGATGCTGGCATTTATTTTTAGATATTAATCTCTTAGAAGGTCCCTTGTGAGGAAGTGTGTGTGTTTGTATATATTTACCCTGGAGCCAGTTGAGAGAGTTCTCTGTTTTGAGAGGGGTGCCAGTCCCTAGACTCCTATATATGGTGGGTTCATTTCCCTGGAAGTTACTGACAGTAGCAGTGTACAGTTCCCCATCTATAACACACAAAAAAGTGCTCATTAACACTAACATCAACCTTTTCATCAAACTCAGTGATGTTTATATATGAAGTTCAAACAAAAAGATTGCCATGTTTTTGCATTAGTATACTCACCCACTGTAATAGCTGTAGATCTGGATTCTGGATTAAATGGACAGCGTCCACGGCCATCCTCCATTACGGGTTCCCCCTTTTCATCTCTTTCCAGAGAGAAACTTGAAATGTTCTACAAATTTCATGAAAAACACAAACACGTCATTCGTTAAATCAAATGACACCAGACACACTTGCACAAATGGGTCAATGACATAAAGTACAGTTTTTTTCCCTATATATTATTTTATTCAAAAATACATTAGAAAAAGCTATTTAAATACATAATGACTTAAATACAGTTTACTTTTTTTTTTTTGGGGCACGTGTGTGTGTGTGTGTGTGTATATGTGTGTGAAAACCAACAACAATAATAATAAAAATAAAATAAATGACACTTTACACAGACCTTAATGACTATCAGATATATATGAATATCAGATTAGTTTTATTTTAAAAAAATCCCTTTTATATTAATAATACTGTTTACGTAATACATTAAATACATTAAGACATTAAATTTAAGTTTAAGTTAAGTTTTTCCAAAACTATATGAATCCGACATGCATATGGAGAGGAGATTTCTAAGAACTTTAATTTTTAAAATAGATTTTTTTTTTTTAAAGAAAAAAAGAGATGTAAGAAAGATGTGAGTCTCACAATGTAAGCGCAGATGGGGCTGAAGGCATATGTTCCACACACATATAGGTGTGTGCTGTTCAAATGCAGTAAAATCTTGATGTAGTTGAAACAGTCAGTCTGAAACACATAAGAGACAGATTTTCTTTTAATTTGTTGTTTTAATATATTGCGTCACATTTATATTAACAATAACAGCAACAAACTTATACCTGGGGGTCCTTTCCCTTGAAGATGCACTCCTTCCTCTTCCTTTCTGGAGTGCTCCATGTGAGCTGCAGAAGAGACAAAACAACACTGAGTACTACCATCAAAATGCACTCCTACACACTACTACAAACATTCTCGCATGCACTTACTGTTTTCTGTAGATACGTCACACTGATGTTGTCCAGGCTGAGAGAGAATATATTCTCCCTGGCTCCCACGTATATCTTGTTTTTATCTGGGCTCAGCAGAAGAGTTGAATAGTTATACACACCATCCACCGAGAACTCTCTCACTGATCGCCCTTCTGCATCTGAACACACCCAGAGGAAAAAATATTACTTGGTACACCTCATAAAAAGAACAAAAATCAATGTTGTCCAAAAAAATCGTAATGTTTCGCACACACACACATTATATATATATATATATATATATATATATATTAATCAGTGTCTAAATAAAGTCTTAACAGTACATTCAGAAAGCATCTTGCATTCTTCACATGGAATTCTCCTTCAAAACTACACAAACCTGGCACACAGTCCGACCCTTTAAAATGATGTCAGTTAGTATGTCCAGAAGGTTTTCCTGGCAAGGCACAGAGGTCACTAACGTCAGTGTTTACTGACATAAAACCTTTTACAAGTCGTTTTGTTCTAAGTACAACCATTACATTTGCATTTCAACCTCAAATGATTAATGAGAATGGCTGTTACTCTGATACAGTACACCAGCCAGGGTTTGCAAATGGTTCTAATAGCTCTTGTAAATGTTTACAATCAAGGATTAAACCCGCCAGTGTGTTTGGCTAAGATGAGTGAATGCAACATTTGGAACAGTCTTGTAATGGGTCTTTTGGGAATAAGAAACATCATGGCAGTTCAAGTAGCCCTAAAATTTTGCTAAATTATAGCAGATGAGTGGTAGTCTGAGGGAATCTGGGCCAGCAGATCTTCTTCCACTGAATGCAGTGCGCATTACTGACATTGCTGCTTTTGTGAGCATAAAATGCCATTTTATACAACATTTCCATTTCAAATACTATTCTATACTTCAAAGAAAAAAAAAGAATATCATGGCTTCCACAGAAATATTAAGCACCACAACTGTGACATTGATACAACAACATTGATAAAAATAAGAAATGTTGCTTGAGCACCAAATCAGCATATTAAAATGATTTCTAAATGATCATGTGGCACTGAAGACTGAAGTAATGATTGCCATTGCCATCACAGGAATCTTTCCATCACACTTTAAAATAGAAAAGTTTTAAAATTGTTTTAATATTTCACATCTATTATTGTTTTTACTGTTTTTCTTATCAAACAAATGGTAAGAATTCCTACACAATTTTCCATTTAAAAATTCCATACTCAAATTTCCAAATCTTTCTGTAGATTACCATATTTAACATCAATGGTTACATTGTTTTTAGCTTTAAATTTGGTTTATAGTACAGTAATGTGTTAATTTTCTTAGGGGTCAACTTTGGCTTTTTTTGATTTTTGCATGTCTACACATTCCAATTTCTAGTTTTATATAAAAATAATACGAGATCATAGATGCATATGCATTAATAGAGATCTAGTATTTCCTAGGAGTAGTACCTCTAATATCAAGGCCTAATGTCCAATTTAATGCATCCTCTGGGGCGGTAGAGAAACCATGACACTAAATGGACCGATGGCACAATACGGCTTTGCGCACTGTCCTATTTGCTAAGTTCAAGGGTTTATAAAAAAGACTGGTATTTTAAAAAGTTTTAAAAAACTGTCTTTTGTTAGGGAAGTACATGTTTTTCAAAACCTTGGGTCTGCTTTAACGCGTACTCTGTGGCGGCCAAGAAACTTGTATGATAAATACAATTTCCTTGGGAATTTGGGAAAGAAAGTGGTATATACTGTATGATAAATTTAATTTCACTAAATTCTCAATTTTCTATTATAGAAAACTTTAAATATAGAAAACAGGCGCAATAGTCTGGAAATGCAAATATTTTTCCATTCATTGCTTTCTTTTTTCCATACCTTCTCAGACCTGGAAATTACTCAAATCACTGCCATACTTTTCCAAATTGCGTAGGAACCAAGTATAATATTGTTGCGACTTAAAACGCTCAAGCTCTTTCAAGCAGGATGGATTCTGATTGGCTGTCACTGTTTTATCGTTCACCAGCTGGAAAAAAAACCATTCTGAAAGTGATTCCAACGATATCGTTTCTCTGTCCTTTTATCATTATAGTTTTTCATCTGCTTTACTTGGTTTCACTATATTTTGACTGTCCCCAGACATTCTCTTGGGAAAGAGTAGAGTTGCACTTACATGTCAACAAACTCGCATTAGAGTATTAGTTGAGTATTATGAGTTAGTTTACTGTTAAGAGTATGGGTTGGGTTACAATAAGGGGTTCTGGTTGGCAGAAAATGTTTACATGTACTTGCACAGTTATGCCAGTAGAATGTGTGTTGGGGAACCATCAAAACAAAGTGTTAGCAGATATTGAGCAGACAGTCTACTAATACTCTGATGAGAGTTTGTTGACATATACAGTAGGTGTAACATACTTTATTGTCGACAAAATATCTAAAAGGGACCATCAAAATGAAGTGTTACCTTCTTTTATATTTAGAACAATTTTAAGAACTATATTTATCATTATAGTTTTCATTATTGGGTGTGAACGGGCCTTTACAGTACTAAGTGAAGAGTAAATAGCTTTGGATAAGAAAGCATCTGCTGAATAACTAATTAATTCATGCACTTACTATATGAGAAACTGATTCGTGCTGTGACATCATCTTCATTAACCACGGTTGCATGTAAAACTCCAGCCAAAAAAATCCATAATATGGTCCAAAACAAGAGCCAGAGAGAGTTTTTGGTTTCCATGGATACTTTCCATTTGGTTGCCATGGTCAACTGCTATACAATTGAAGATTGTAATATTCCAGGTATCTTTGGTATTCAAATGAAATGTTTACACCCTGCCGTTGATTCTTTCAGGGATACTTAAGGTCACAGAGACCTTGCCATACCTAAATTATGTCCTCAAAGAGGTCAAAGGTGGAGAGATATCAGATCCTTGTGGTCAAACACACTTATTTTAAACAACACATCCCTCCTAATAGAGACTATCCATGTAGCAAACTCCAATTAGATCGTCTGGAATCTGCAGAGGGAGAAACAGAAGCACATTTAAATCACATGATTAAACAGAATCGAACAGAATGATATGGAATAATAAGAATAATTTCATTTTGCTTTAACCATGAGATCATTTGCAGCTGATAAATCCACCACACGTCTGAACTAAAGAACTCAAGACAACTCTTTTGTTTCTCATGTTTCTCTGTTCAAAGGAGGCTGACCTCAACATCCACAGCACATGCTTCAGTGTTTTTGTGGGAAAGAGGCTGAATCTAATGTCCTCCTCTGCATGACTTTATCCAAACAGAATTTGGAAATGCATCAACTCCTCCCTTTTGGCCTGATCAGCTTTTAAGGGTGGTATGTCCTGAAAACAGGAAGACTGTGTAGTCTCTGTAGCTTCAAACACAACACACAAATAAAATTACAAAATTCCATACTGATCATGCTTATGTTCTCAATTTCTATTTATCTTTAATATTTGTATTAGGTATTTATTTATTTATTAATATTTTGGAGAAAATTAAAATTAACAGTCAATTCCGAATTTGGACTGCCAGTAAATAAACTTTCAGTTAGTCAGATCAGATGACCATTTTATCTTAAGCATTTCAAACAGTAAAACACAAATAGTTCAGACCATTAAACAGCGCAAACCATTAAATTGTCATGTAAACATAACTACAGAAGTATATATCAGCAATATAGCCTAAATCATGCATAGATGTAACAAAGTTCCACCTAAATGTGTCTGCTACTGACATAAGTACAAGATGTACACAAACACCCATACAGTCTGAAGATGTCACATACTGTGCTCCTGCTAAGACTCAAGAGTCAGAATTGGAAGACTTCTAAATGTTTAAAGACAGAGATAAAAATAAATCATGCTGCGTCATGTACACACAAACTAAAAAAACAGCTTGATAAAAAAACATCTCTTACTATGAGAACTTTTACAAATGTATGACCCTCCATTAATGTTGAAATGATGTGACATGCATGCATGATCTCAAACGATGATGACTTGAAAGGGGGGGTTTATATTTTGACCTATCAACCTGAGGATTTTTGTACTAAAGATTATGATTGATTAGAAGTAACTTTTTAACAGCAGAAAGTATTATGCAATGTGAACAAGTGTAAACACACAGTAAAAGCTTTAATTCTTAGGACACTCTTAACAAAGCGTCTCATTGCCATAAACAACTGAACATTCTGCCAAGCAATAGATCTAGAGAAGAAAGGCACAGATACCAAGGTCAAACTTGTTATCTTTTACTTCAAAAAGATCTCTGATATATGCAATAAAATTTACAAGCTGCCTAGCATCTTTCCCCTAACACTTTAATTATACTAGCTGGAAGAAGGCAGTACACCGTTGGTCTGTTTCTTTTACTACTTCCCTTTACATAGTGAGTCCTTAGGGCTTTTTCTCTGGCAAAGTGATCAACCAAATGGAGAGCTGGTTATCATTTGTTGACTGCCTACTGACTCAAAACAGGACAACTCACACTATCTATACCAAATAATATAAACATCAAAAGGTTCTTTGCTAGGACATACAACAAGGTATTCATTCTCTAGTCCTCATAGTCTTTGATCCAAAAGGCTGATGCTGTTCTAAAGAGAGCAGAGTTTATGTAAACAATAAAGGTTTGCTTTTATGCACTCTCTTCACTCATCTAACTACTTAGAGGAGAGTTTAAAAAAAATGGCAACACTCAATCTTAGACTGAAAATATTACCACGTATCTAACGGTTTAGATTACAGTACTTTTTTATTCTGTAACTAAAATGGTCTTTTGTGGAAAAAAAATGTCTTGATCACTAATTTCATTTAAATTGTTATCTTGCATGTTAATCATTATCAAACCTCCCTCATACTACACTCCAAAGTCACGTGATCTGAAGTGTAAACAAAGTTAAAAGTCCACCTAACACAATTAAGCATGCAAGATGATGACAGTTTTCAGATCCCACTCATGATTAAAATAATTAATATCAATCAATTTTAATGAATGCACTTCTTGATTGGTATATTTGTATCTTTGACACTGAAAGGGTGGGTTCAGCAAACGTGGGAAAAGTACATTTCAATATCAACTGCCCTTTAAATATCCAAGTAAACAAATGTAATAGTCTTGTTTTGTTCTGTGCTTTCATTTGCCTGACATATTCATAGTGAATAGTAAGCTTCAGTTTTAAACTGATTATTTATTATGGTTTACTTTAAGTACCTTTCCAGTTTAACCAAATATATTTTTTTTTACAGTTATTTTGATTGTTTAGAGTTGGCTTACGGTCGTGAATCATTGGACTATTGAGAAGTTACATTCAACCATTGCCACCTTTGTGATAGAGGTTGGTTTTACATGGTTTCAGGTGGACAATACTGGTCATTTTGTCGTCAAAATGTCTGGTCAAAATTGTAACAGATTGCTGGACTACCAACTGATGGGCAAGCAATTTACTTAGATCTTGATGAAGGTCTAGTGAGGTTGGTTTTCCCAACATTTGCTGTACCACTGTCCCAATTTTAATGACGATCATCTGCTTCAAGTGATGATTATGAAAGAACATTTATGAAAACACCTATAGCCTACCACTGATCGCAATAATATTGCCTACACTCGCAATAATATTGCAATAAATAAAGTTTTTTGATACATTTACATTAAAGAGGGTGGACGCACATAAAAAATAGAGCTTTGATCAACGCCCCCTTCCCAAAAATGAGTACATTTACATAGTTCACCAAAATTTTAACGTTTATTCTCTTGCTACTTGTAAGCTCTCGAGCTTTACTTTGCGGTGACTATGATAATAAACAGTAAAACACATGCGCACAATCCAGCAGCACCTTGTTTATTTTGAGCCCATTTCCCACCCACCTACCTATCTACCCACCCCCAACTAACTCACCCACCCTCCAATACCACTACAAACACACGATATAGTCTGAATCCCAATACACCACATCGCTTATGTTAACGAAAATAAATTACTGACTGATAGTAAAAAGTGATGTTTTGCAACAGGTGATTTTATGCACTCAGCATTCAACAGATAAACGTGGCCAGTCCTCCTACATAACGTTATTCGAACAATACTGAATCCTAGATCGCACCTCTTGGTCTCACAGCCCCCCTTTTAACTTATTGTTTATATGCGTAACTTACCACTAAAGCCAATACATCTCTCTCCGAAGAGACAGCCAGTTGGTGTGATTTGGAAATGAGCCTTTAGTTTTGTATTCCAGCATGTTTCCTTTCCCTCAGTCCGGGTTAACTGTATAAAATGCAACCGCTGATTTCTTTGCTCATGGATCTACCGCTGCGCTGACCGAGACTCGACACTCCTCCTCCTCAAAACCATTGACTGGAGCCACACCTCTAACACACACACACACACACACACACACACACACACACACACACCAAACGAGAGGTGCTCTCTTTATCCGACGAACTCTGGTAACCAGTGGGAATGAAAATTTCTCAGCTGGTAACATTAAATAAGAACCAGAAAGAGTTTTTTTGTGTTTTACTATCAGCCGACAGAAAATGATAGCTAAATAAGTTCACATTTAATTTACTGTAATGTAACTTTATTTTATTTAGGCTAACTTTGAAATGTACAATTTTAGAATTTGAATTAGTAGCTTAATTAGGCTAGGCTATTTTTGTTGTTTTTGTTGTTGTTTTGTTACAAAATGGTTTTCCACTGGTCGTAAATTTGACCAGTATGTTTACATCATCTGATACAGACTAGTCTATTATAATAAAACATAATAGGCCCTTATACCTTATCATGTCCAAAATATGTAGTTCAATATATCAATTAGCCTATGTAGTATGTATAGGCCCATGTGTTATGTTTAAAATTCTGTCATCATTTACTCACCTTTAAATTGTTTCTTGCTTCTGCTAAAAGCAAAGGAAAATATTTTGAAGCATGTTGGTAACCATACAGTTGATGGACCCCATTGATTTCCACAGTAAAAAAAATAGATCAACTTTTTAGTTATTCTTCAAAATATTCTTCAAAATATCTTCTTTTGAGTTCAGCAGAAGAAAGAAATTCATACAGGTTTGAAACAACTTCAGGGTGAGTAAATGACAGAATTTTTCATTTTTCAAGTAAACTAGGCTATTGCTTTAACACGTCACTTTCCTTTTATGGAGCGTTGAGGCAAAGCCAACATCGACTTTCAAGTTTCAGAGGAGCAAAGGTCATGTGACTATTTAAAAGAGCAGTTTAAAAATGTTCAAATCAAGGATCTTAACTTTCATTTATAGTTGGTCACTAAAATATAAATAAAATATACACATTTTTTTATATGAAAATAAATATATGAAAGTCAATTTTGGTCACCATTGTTCTCTTGAAAACAAGTACTTTTTATTCAGACCCTTGTTTCTTTGTTTTATTTTTTATTTTTTTTAATTAAAAATGTTTAATAGTTGAATAATAGTGCAGCCAACCAGGTGCAAACCTAACCGAACCTAACCAAAATAAGGTTTCTAGTTTTCTGGGACTCCCACACTTATATAGTCCTTCAAATTGAGGAGAATAATTCATGCTCAAAGGAAATTACATGGGATTAGAGGTAGATCAGCAGCAAGGGCAGAGCTGAGCTCAGGCATCCATGAAATCTCTAGTAAAGTTACGGCAGACTGGCATCAAATGCAGTTTAATGAGCAGTTGTGCTCTTAGACAGGAGTTACTTATCAAAAGGATTTTTTTTTTTCAGTCACGGGTACAGTCTTTTCCATCCTCTTTTTACTTATAGTGACATTCTTTTGAACTGTTCACTCTATTGTGCACCCTTATAGAGATTCAAAGTTATAATGTTGCTTTGATCACTTGGTATTCATTCACCAACTGCACCCTCTTTGGGCAGAAATAACAGAATTCATGCCATGGAAAACTTGTGTAAATACAAAACAGTGTTTCATCCATACGAATAAAATTGTTATATACTTCTGCATCATGCTGTACCATGCTGTCTTCTTACTCGCATACTGAAATAAGCTCAGCGCCTGTCCTTACCAGCAGTTAGCTTGTCTCCTAGGTAACCTGTTCAGTCTAGTCCACAATTGAACAAATGAGAAATGAGAGCCTCAAGTCATGTGCACAATCTTAGACCACACCAGCTTTGTCTACAATTTTAGTTTAGCTATTTAAAGGTAAACTGCTGGTATTATTCAACATTTTGCAGGGCAGCATTATGTGGGGCAGCATAATTTCTTATGCTTTTATTTCCTGAACTTCCTATTTTATCATATTGAGTCTTCTATCACAGTTGTGTGCACGTAAATTCATAAATGCCATGTGGTTTTGGAGTTAGGCTACACTGCTGCAGTAGGGAGTAATTTCACATAAATCTCCCAACACAGTCGTTTCTTTGGAAGAGATACAAATGCACAGCTAGATGGATGACTTATGACAATGTATCAAATGTGGTTTGGTGTGAGAAACAATGATAGAGCTAAGAGACCAAATGCATTCAGCAGATAGAGCAGACAACCAAAATAGTCTAGACGTGACAGTGCAACTCAAGCACTCTATTGGAGTACCAAAGATATCAGAGAGAGACCGAGTGGCTTTTTCGAAATATATATGGTAGTGGTACCCTAATGGACTGGCTGCTGAGCTAAACACAAATCCTCCCTGCCTCATTCTTTATTTCTCATACACAGAGACACATGAATTTGACTCATCAAGTTGTCATATCCTCGTCTTTAAATTCAAATGAAACCACAACTGTCTGAAAGTCACTAAACTGTTAATAATTTTAGGACTCAAGCCAGTTCTGAGTCTTGATGCTGGGCAGTTCTGCCCCTCAGTGCATGGCGTGAACAGTCTGATGAGTTGTGGCAAAGGAGAGGGATATCTTGTGTAAACAGAGGGATTGTATTCCCAGGCTCGGAGACGTGGTGATTAAGAACTGACGTTAGTCAGAGTGACCAGCAGTCCATATGACTAAATAAATGATGCCTCCAACCAGTTTACAGGACCAGCCAAAATGTCTTAGACTCTACCATAAGTCTTAAAGGGATGGTTCAGCTAAAAATAAAACTTTGTTTGGAACAAAAAAGAAGATGCTTTGCGCAAAAAAAAAAGTGTCAATATTTTCAATAGTCAGTGGGGTTTAGTGTTGTTTTGGACCCTACTGACTATTATTGTAAAAAAAAAAAAAAAAAAAACAGCATATAATAATTTAAATATCCTTAGGAATTCTTCATAAGCTTTGTCAACATCTTTTTCATTATCAATAAATTCCCAGTCTTGTGCTAGCATGCAGATCAACTTTAAATGCCTCTATTGTTTCTTCTTCTCTGACCCTTTTGGAAATTGGTTTATTTCCATGTCTGTTTAAAATGTAGTTACTGTCATACACTGTAAAAATTGGTAGGTGGTTACTGATATCATGACCATATCGTGACAATAAAATTAAAATCAATGATGCAATATGAAATAAATTCTGCAGAAAAGCAGCTCTAAAACCTACAATAGTGTCCTGTTTCAGCTCAAGTCAGTTCAGTGTTGATTCAGTTCACTTCAATCACTGTGTAAAATTAATCAATTATGACACGTGTTCAAGAAGGCAACAGTGCTGTTATGTCAAATTCATTATGAAACAAAATTTGATTCAACTATAAAGCTGTGGAGTTAATTGATAATGACAATTTAATGTATTTTAAACCAAGCTAAGCAAGTTAGGGGGTGACAATAGCAAGGAACTCCATTACTCCACAGTCAGAGTCATACAGGTTTGGATGACATGTGGGTGAGAAAATAATGACAGAATTCTAGGTAGAATTCAAAGGTAGTGGAATCTAACACAGTTTCATACCAGTTTGGTTCTAAGTGAAGTTTTTATCAAAATGAAACTTGACACTAATGTCAGATACAGGCCTTCATGGAGTCTATATGTGGGTCAGCTGTATTCTTGAAACGTTAAAACAAGAAAAACAGTCTAATGATGACCTGACCATGCAGCAAACTCTCTGAAATAATGAGTTGTCATAACTCAGTTTGTTTATTTGTTTGTGAACTGTACACATAAAATAAATTGTTATTTCAGAGTAAAAACCAAAGTATCAGCTTATTTTCTCTTTGGATCATCCAGGCTTGTTTGCGAGACATATTTGAATGAAAATTGAATGAGAATGGATGGTGCTCTAGGGACCGTTACCTCATCTCTCAGAGCAACAAAACAGGAATCAAGTGAGAGAAATGGTGAAAGAAAAAGGGATGGGGGTGGGAGACTGAGAGAAAGACAGAAACTGAGAGCAGGATGTTTAAAGTCAATGCCCTGACCTTTTTTTTTTTTTTTTTATCTGCGCAACAAACTGATTCCAGTTTCTCTGTCAACAGGTTGGTTTCAAACAAGTAAAGTATAACTGAATATCTTGACAGAAAAAAAATTCTCCGGAACTCTGAAATGAAAGTAGCGCTGACCCTATTAAAAGACCAACCAGGACATAAAGTGCTGTTTTAGACCTCACTTCCCATCATTAGTTCCACTCAGTATGCCCAGGCTTGATACTAATGAGAGTCTTGTCCTAAAACACAAGGCCAGCTCTGCATGATTGGAACTGGGCTAAAACAGACCTGTCAACCCTGTGCTGAATGCCGCTCCATTCACATTGTACACAGAGGGTGGGAGTGTCACTGAATGTGGGAGAGTACATGTGCTTGTTGTGTGTGTGTGTGTGTGTGGATGTTCATTTTATGATTCACTCAGCACTGAATTACGGCCAGAAACTCTCAAGCTAATCTCTCCCACTGGATCTATACACACCCTGCTGTGGGTGTGGATACACACCCAGAGAAGGAGAAAGGATTCTTTCACACATTCAGATATCAAGAGTTGAAATAATATTCTGGCTTATAGCACGTAACCACCTGTTAGTGTATGTGTTTGTGCACAAGATACATACTATGTGTATAATCAAGCTGTATGTTATAATTCCTGCATTCAGGACACATTTTGCGTCACAATGATTACTCATTGTATGTGCAAAACACTTGAAGTCTAATATAATTTTGTTAGGGTCAAACACACACTGACAGGCTCTGTTTTCCAGCTTAGAGGTCCCAATGGTCACAGATGTTGAGGGGACATGATGCAATGAAAAGAAACAGATCTCTATCTCAGTTCAGCTCAGCACTGACCCTGAGCAATAACTTCATGGGAATCCAGCAGAAAAAAACAAACAAACATAATATTATAACATCTTAATTTTATAACAAATTATAATGAACTTTTATGAAACACTGTATAAATAAACTTGAATCAAATATCAATATTCAATGTATCAAAATATATTGTATGTGTGCTTTA